GTGCAGTGCTGAGAGGTTGTCATCACACAGCCCTGATTGCATGAGTCCCACATTTTCAGTGCTGAGAGGTTGTGTTCTAATGCAAGATAAGAGGGCAGTGGCATGTGCGTCTCGACAACTTAGGCACATGAGGAGAATTATCTGATGCATGATCTCAAGTTAACTGTAATGGTCTTTGCATTGAAGATTTGGTGTCATTATCTTTATGGAATAGAGTTCGGGGTCTTGAGCGACCATAAAAGTCTCAAGTACCTGATGGATCAAAAAAGAGCTAAATATGAGACAGAGACATTGGATGGAGTTTTTTAAAGATTACAATTTTGAATTTAAGTATCATCCGAGGAAAGCAAATGTGGTAGCAGATGCTCTTAGTCACAAGACCTTACATGTAGCCTATTTAATGGTTTGGGAGCATAGATTGATGGAGTCTTTGGTTGTGACTTCGCTAGGTGTGACTGAGTTCTCCTTAAATGGTCTTAAAACTATAGTTATTTCCAGTGAATTTTGAAAAGTGATATGGGATGCTTAGCTTTAAGATTCGATTTTGTTAAAAATAAGTCAAGACATTGAGAATAGTAAGACAATGGACTATTGGTTTAGTGATGATGGCTATGTGGTTTTTAAGGATAGGGTCTGTGTAACATCTCGAAAATTTTAAAACTCAAATTTATTTTAAAAATAAAATAAAATATCTATAATTAAATTAAAATTTAGAATAATTTGATAGAGGTCCAAAATTTGAATTTTTCTCAACAAAAGTTTGATTTTATTTGATTTTTAACTATGAAAAAAATTATCAAAGTTGACTCGGGCTTTTGTGCTATAACAAAAAATGTTGGGCCCTTTCTTATAATTTTTTCCAAAGTGTTAGATCAGCATTTTAAAGAGCAAACTGGACGTAGAAACGAAATGGAACAAGAGAAAAGGAAAGAAACGAACGGAAGAGAGGAAGAAGAAAGGAGAAAGAGAGAGAATTAGGCTTAGATCTAGGAGGCTTTGTGACCATTGCGAGCTCAGCTACACAATAGGTAAACTCCCTACTTCAATCTTCATCCTTCTCTCTTAATTTTCTTCAATTTTTGAAAGAGAAAATTTCTGGATTTTGATCCTAAAAGCTTTATTCTTGTAAGCTTTGGTTTTTTGGATCCTAAGGAAGATGTTTTGAATTTCTATATAGTGATCTAATGTTTTGAATGGATAATTAGATGAAAAGAGGTGGTTTAGGCATAAATTAAACCCTGAGAGATTGGGTTTTGCTCTTTAATAGTTAAAGCCATTGATTTAGTTATAATCATGCTATTTGAGCTCAATAAGATTTAAATTAAGGTTTGATTTTCATTATAAGGGCTAATGGTAAAAGTTGGTGACACTAAGTGAAGGTTTTTAATTAATTAAAAATTATATGAATTGGAAATTGGCCTAGTGGTGGCTAATAAATGGTTTTGATGGTTAAATGATATTATGTGAATGGTTGGTTTAATATATGGACCATTAGGATGAATTATGACTCATTGACTCAAGTTGTGTGATATGAGTTATCGTCTTCATTAATGCTATTTGTCATGATAAGTGATGTGGATTACTTATATGTTGTAGAAAATTGTTGGTGGAACTTATTGAGAAGTTAAGGAACAAGCCAAGTCAACCCTTTTAGTACCAAAGAGTTAATGTAACAGGAGAATTTATATTTCTTATTACTTTGTTTTAGCTATTTTTGAATAAATATTACTAGCTATCACGCATTACATGTTTTAAAAGATTAAATGTGCTTTATAAGGGGTTATGGGGTATTACTTTGATTATAGTGCGAATATATTTTCTAATTGTTTAACAACAATGTTTTTATGGAAATGAGCTTTGTTCGCATGTATTGTAATCATAAAGAATAGAAGTTGTACTTAAGAAAGTGTAACTAAGTAAGATACCTTAGATAGACTAAGGAATCATTTAAGGGAGATTTATAAAAGTTATATTACCTTAGAGTGTTGAAGTGGTCAATACTCAGGAAAGGTAGACACGAGTAAAAGGCATGATCTCAATGGGAGTTCACCAATGAGAAGGTGTGGACTTTTGATATTTTATGGCACACTGCCAGTACTCAGTGTTGCCTTATATATTGTGGGCTCAGTGCACTAAAGTAGTTAGCGTATTGAGTGTTCGAAGCCTCTCAGTAGGAGAGAAAATCTGTCATATGAAGTGTGAGGTTAAGTGCCTAGGCCAAGGTAGCTCTCACATGGAGAGTAAGTCGAGTTGGCTCTAAGAGGGAGTTAGCTTTAGCTACTCAGGATTCACGTCGAAGGGGCATAGGTGGTTTAGTGAATCAGATCATGCCTTAGATTATGTTTTATGCCTGTGTAGGTACAAGTAGGTATAAGATTTACCTACGAGTTAAAGAGTGTCAAGGGGCATTCTATTGGTCATAAAAGGCCATACCTGCCTATGTCATGCATTCACGCATTTTAAATGGCTAAATTATATACTTTGTTGAATTTATTATTCGTTTATTTGATTATGGCTTACTTTGTAATAATCAATGTAGATTTCTCTGTTACTGAGACTGTGGTTATCTCACCCCTTTCTTTTCAATATTTTTAGGTCCAAGCAAAAGAACCAGTGGAGGACAGGGAAAAGAGTAGAGCTAGGGGTTTTTTGTGAATTGTAAAGAACTGCAACCCCTTTCTTTTGAGCAAATCTATTGTAATGTATTTAGAATTAGAGTGCCAGTAGAATCTGATTATGTATATGTGTGTGAATATGTGTGGATTGTATGGCTTATGTATGAGTTTTTTGTTTGCTTATAGACTTGTGGCTAGGAAACTTGGCTATGGTGTGTGGTTTTGATGGATTTATTTAGTAGACTAAGTTTTAACTACAAGCAAATATTTATTTTGGTATATATGTGATTTCACAAGCAAATGCAAAAAAGGTTGCATTGTAAATGGTGTGCTATAGGCAAACATACACCTTGGATAGAGAGAGTGGGTGCATGGGCCCCACAGAGATCTCTGAGCCAAGTAAAAATTTTTATCATGTGTATTCATATGTGTATGATTTTTAGAATAGTTTTTGGCCACTCTTGTGTGATTTGTGCATTTTGAGGGTTTAGGGTTCATTTTTAAAAATGGCACCCGGTTGGTCAAATTTTGATATAAAGGGTTTTTCTATTATTTAAATGTTCTATTAGGTGTTTTTAGTCCTATTTGACGTGTCCAAAGTGTTCTCACAGGTTTGTGACCATTAGGATGAGATTTGGACAATTTTGAAAATGGTTTTTACTAAAAAACTGCACTTTTGCATCCAGGCGTCCAAATCTTAATCCGACTATTGAATTTCTCTAAAATTTAGGTCACAAGTAAAACCTTTTATAAGCTTCATGTGCGCTTTGGAATCACATCAATCAGACATCAAATGGAAAAACAGTGCACTCCAGAATTTGGTCCGGAGGAGTTGTCATGACAGCAACAATGATGATGTTGCAACATACACGAAATTTAATCCATCTGTTAGATCTTTTCAAAATTTAGTATGTTAATAGCACTCTTTAAAAGTGACATGTGAGCTTTGGAATCATTCCGATCGAAGGTCGGATGATGAAATGGTGTACTCCAAAAGTTAGTCCGAAAGTGCTGTCATGACAACTTTTTAGCTATCATAACAGTAAAAATGACCAAACTTGTAACATGTTTAATCTTTAATCCGACCGTTAGATCTTTTTAAAATTTGATACACTTATAGTAAAAAGTTGTCATGACAACAAAAATGACCAAACTTGTAACATGTTTAATTTTTAATCCAATTGTTGGATCTTTTTAAAATTTGATACACTTATAGTATCCTTTGAATGTGACGTGTGAGCTTTAAAATTACTTCGATCAGGGACCGGATGACAAAATGGTGCCTTCTAGAAGTTGGCTCGGAAGGGCTATCATGACAGCAATTTAATGTTGTCATGACAGCATCTTTTTACCTTACTTTTGCCTAGCTTGCTTCCTTGCGTTATAGGTAAAACCTATAAAAATTTTTTATTTAAAATGTTTTTAAATTTTTATTTTGCAATCGTGTATCTGCTTAGTGATTTAAATGGTTTGTTTCCTAAGTTAGTTTTAGGATTAACTCCTTAACCACACTTACTTTATTTGAATTGTGTAATTTTTAGATAACACTGGGCAAGTATTACAGTGTGTCTTCCCAATAATGAGTCTATTCGGAAGCAATTGTTGGATGAGGCACATAGCAGTAGCTACACCCTTCATCCCGATGCTATTAAAATGTATCATGACATGCAGCATCACTGGTGGTAGCCAGGCATGAAAAAAGATGTCATAGAGTATATTAGTAAGTGTTTGACCTGTCAGAAGATCAAGATAGAGCACTAAAAGCCATCAGGGTTGTTACAGCCTTTGGACATTCCTAAATAAAAATGGGACAGTATTTCAATGGATTTTATATCTAGTCTAAGGAGAACCTAGGCTAGTTTTGACTCTATCTGGGTAATTATAGATCGTTTGACTAAGTCAGCACACTTCTTACCGGTCAAGACCACCTATATAGTTGATAAGTATGCTGAGATCTACATTAAGGAGATTGTGTAATTACATGGGGTACCGAGGGATATTGTTTCAAATAGTGATCCTCGATTTACATCAAATATGTGGCAGGCTATACAAAGGGCTATGGGCACAGATCTGAAGTTCAGTACATCCTATCATCCACAGACGGATGGACAAACTGAGTAGAGGATCCAGACATTAGAGGATATGTTGAGGTCATATGCCTTAGAGCTTCAGGGAAGCTAGAATAAGCATTTGCCTCTAGCAGAATTTGCTTATAATAACAGTTATCATGCCAGTATTCAAATGGCTCCTTATGAAGCATTGTATGGAAGACGGTGCAGATTGCCTTTTTGTTGGTATGAGTTAAGTGAGAGGACAATGATGGGACTAGATGTGGTAGATGAGACCACAGAGAAAATCAAATTGATGCAATAAAAGCTTCTTACGATGCAGAGTAGACAGAAAAGTTATGCAGATAATCGTCGGAAGGACCTATCTTTTGAGGTTGGGGATCATGTGTTTCTCAAGGTTTCCCCATTGACGGGTGTTAGACGCTCAATTCGGGTTAAGAAGTTGTCCCCTTGGTATATAGGTCCTTTTAAGGTTTTGAAGAAAGTAGGGCCGGTGGCTCATCATTGACACTACTGCCTCAGTTACCGGGTCTACACAACATGTTTCATGTGTCACAACTGAAGAAGTACCAGCCAGACCTGTCACATATGATAAAACTCGAGGAGATTGAAATTCAGAAGAAGTTAACCTACCAAACTGAACCAAATCATATTGTGGATGCTAAGGAAAAGCAGCTTAGAAATAAGGTAATCCAGTTGGTAAAAGTAATTTGGAAAGGGATAGCTTCAGGAGATGCAACTTGGGAGATTGAGAATCAAATGAGAAAGGAATATCCACAGTTATTTTTCTAAGTATGTTTCTTTCTTTAATTCATGAATTAGCTTGAATTTTGGAGACAAAATCCTTTTTAAAGGAGGGGAGAATGTAACGCCTTGAAATTTTTAAAACTCAAGTTTATTTTAAAATAAAATATCTATAATTAAATTAAAATTAAGAATAATTTAATAGAGGTCCAAAGTTTGAATTTCACTAAGCAAAAGTTTGGTTTTATTTAATTTTTAACTATGGGAAAAATTACAAAAGTTGACTCGAGCTTTTATGTTATAATAAAAAATAGTGAGCCCTTTCTTGTAATTTTTTCCAAAGTGTTAGATCAACATTTTGAAGAGAAACTGAATGCAGAAATGAAATAGAACAAAGAAAAGGAAAGAAATGAATGGACGAGAGAGTGAGAGGAAGAAGAAAGGAGGAAGAGAGGGAGTGAGGTTCAAATCCAAGAGGCTTTACGGCCGTTGTGAGCTCAGTTACATGATAAATAAACTCCCTACTTCAATTCTCTTTCCTCCCACTTTGTTTTCTTCAATTTTGGAAGAAGAAATTTCTAAAATTTGATCCAAAAGGCTTTATTCTTGTAAGCTTTAGTTTCCTTAAGTCCTTGAGAGGTTGTTTTGAGTTTCTGCATGATGCCCTAATATTTTGAGTAGACATTTGGATGAAAAATGAAGTTCTAGGACAAAAGTTAATCCCAAGAGGTTGGGTTTTGCTCCTCAATGGTTTAAGTCTATTGATTTAGTTATAATTTGGCTATTTGAGCTCAATAAGATTTAAATTGAAGTTTGGTTTTCATTATAAGGGCTAATGGTAAAACTTGGTGACACTAAGTGAAGGTTTTTAATTGATTAAAAATTATATAAATTGAAAATTGGTCTAGTGGTGGCTAATAAATGGTTTTGGTAGTTAAGTGGTATTATGTGAATGGTTGGTTTAATATGGACCATTGAGATAGATTATGGCTCATTGACCCAAGTTGTGTGGTATGAGTTATAGTCTTCTTATATGCTATTTGCTATGAAAAGTGGTGTGAATCACTTATATGTTGTAGGAAATTGTTGGTGGAACTTATTGAGAAGTTAAGGAACAAGCTTAGTCTTATTTTGTATAAGGGGAACCCTTTTAGTACCAAAGGATTGAGGTAACAAAGAAATTTATATTTTTTTATTGCTTTGTTTAGCTATTTTTGAGTAGATAATATTATCTAGCATGCATTACATGTTTTAAACAATTAAATGCAAATAAAATGTGTTTTAGAATGGTTTATGAGGTATTGCTTTAATAATAATGCATTTATATTTATTATCTATTTAATAATGATATTACTTATGGAAATAAGATTATTAGCATGCATTGTGATCATAAAAAAAAATGAGGAGTTGCACTTAGGAAAATGTAACTAGGTTTGATACCTTAGATAAGTTAAGGAACCGCTTAAGAGATGAATTATGAGTGTTATACTACCTTGAGTGTTGAAGTAGTCAATACTCAGGAAAGGTAGAAAAAGGTAGGAGGAATGATCTCAGTGGGAGTTTACTAATGGAGAGATGCGGTCTTGTGATATTTTATGGCTCACTATAAGTACTCAGTATTGCCTTTCGTATTGTGGGCTCAATACACTAAAGTGTGGTTAAAGAATTGATCCTCTAACCAACTTAAGAAATAAATCATTTAAAACTTAAAAAAATTATAGGTTCTACCTATAGCGCATGGAAGCAAGCTAGATAAAAGTGAAATAAAAAGATGCTATCATGACAGCATTAAATTGCTGCCATGATAGCCCTCCCGAGCCAACTTCCGGGAGGTGCCGTTCTGTCATTCGATATCTAATCGAAGTGATTATAAAGCTCACACGTCACATTCAAAGGGTACTATAAGTGTACCAAATTTCAAAAAGATCCAATGGTCGGATTAAAAATTAGACATGTTAAAAGATTGGTTATTTTTGTTGTCATGACAGTACTTCCGGACTAACTTTCGGGGTGCACCATTTCATCATTCAACCTATGATCAGAATGATTCTAAAGCCCACATGTCACTTTTAAATAATACTATTAGCATACCAAATTTTGGAAAGATCCAACGGATGGATTGAATTTCATGCATGTTGCAACATTATCAAATATTGCTATCATGACAGTACTTTGCTGTCATGACAGCTCCCTCGAACCAAATTTTGGAGTGCGTTGTTTCTCCGTCCGGTATCCGATCAATGTGATTCTAAAGCCCACACGAAGCTTATAAAAGGTTTTACTTGTGACCCAAATTTTAGAGAAATCTAACGGTCAGATTAAGATTTGAACACCCAAATGCAAAAGTGCAGTTTTTTAGTAAAAACTATTTTCAAAATTGTTCAAATCTCATCCTAATGGTCACAAACTTGTGGGAACACTTTGGACACGTCAAATAGGATTAAAAACACTTGATAGAACATTTAAATGATAGAAAACCCCTTTATATCAAAATTTGACGACCCAGGTGTCATTTCCTAAAATGGACCCTAAACCCCCAAAATGCACAAATCACACAAGAGTGGTCAAAAACTATTGCAAATATCATATACACATATGAATACACACGTTAAACATTTTCACTTGGCTCAGAGATCTCTGTGGGGCCCACGCACCCACTCTCTCTATCCAAGGTATATGTTTGCCCATAACACACCATTTGCAATGCAACTATTTTGCATTTGCTTATGGAATCACATATATACCAAAATAAATATTTGCTTGTAGTGAAAACTTGGTCTACTAAATAAATCCATCAAAACCACATGCCATAGCCAAGTTTCCTAGCCATAAGTCTACAAGCAGACAAAAATTCAAACACAAGCCATACAATCCAAATATACTCACGCACATATATATAATCATATCCTACTAGCACCCTAATCATAAATTCATTACAATAGATTTGCTCAAAAGAAAGGGATTGCAGTTCTTTACAATTCACAAACAACCCTTAGCTCTGCTCCTTTCCCCGTCCTCCACTGGTTCCTTCGCCTGGACCTAGAATATTGAAAAGAAGGGATTGAGATAACCACAGTCTCAGTATCAGAGAAATCTATATTGATTATTACAAAGTAAGCCATAATTGAATAAATGAATAATAAATTCAACATAGTATATAATTTAGCCATTTAGAATGCATGAATGCATGACGTAGGCTGGTATGGCCTTTCATGACCAACAGAATGCCCCCTAGTACTCTTTAAGTTGCAGGTAAATCTTATACCTACTTGTACCTACACAGGTACAAAACATAATCTAAGGCATGATCTAATCTATCGAACCGCCTATGCCCCTTCAACATGAATCCTGAGCAATTGAAGCTAACTCCCTCCTAGACCCAACCTAACTTACTCTCCATGTGAGGGCTACCTTGGCCTAGGAACTCAACCTCACACTTCATATGTTAGATTCCCTCCCTTATTGAAAGGTTTCGAACACTCAATACACTAACCACTTTAGTGCACTGAGCCCACAATACATAAGGCAACACTGAGTACTGGAAGTGTGCCACAGAATATTAAAAGTCCACACATTCTCATTGGTGAACTCCCACCGAGATCATACCTTTTATTCGTGTCTACCTTTCTCGAGTATTGACCACTTTAACACTCTAAGATAGTAAAATATTTATAAATCTCCCTTAAATGGTTCCTTAGCCTATCTAAGGTACCTTACTTAGTTACACTTCCTTAAGTGCAACTTCTATTCTTTATGATTACAATACATGCAAACAAATTTCATTTCCATAAAAATATTGTTGTTAAATAATTAGAAAACATATTTGCACTATAATCAAAGTAGTACTCCATAACCCCTTATAAAGCACATTTAATCTTTTAAAACATGTAATGCATGATAGCTAGTAATATTTATTCAAAAATAGCTAAAACAAAGTAATAAGAAATATAAATTCTCCTGTTACATCAACTCTTTGGTACTAAAAGGGTTCCTCTTGTATAAAATAGGACTTGTATACATTATTGCCTGGTGAGTCAGTTGAGTATTTGAGTTGTGACTCTATTTGTAAATCTACTCAAGATGGTGATTCTTTTAATGATCTTTATACAACTAAATTTCTAAATATGATTAATTGCTATGGATTACCTCCTTACAAGCTAATTTTGAAAGTAAGATCTCCTATCATGCTTTTAAGAAACATAGATCAATCTTCAAGACTTTGTAATGGTACAAGATTGTGTGTGACACAGTTAGGTAAGAATGTCATTGAAGTAGTAACAATGAATGGCTCATATAGAAATCAGAAGATGCTTATTCATCAAATGGATATGAATGCTTCAGAAAGTAGGTGGCATTTTCGCATGCAGAAGAGACAGCTTCCAATCTCTCTCTCATTAACAAGAGTCAAGGGCAATCATTATGTTATGTTGGTTTGTATCTTCCAAAGCCTGTTTTCATTCATGGCCAATTATATGTTGCTCTTAGTAGGGTAAGAAGCATTGATGGGTTGCAAATATTGTTGGATCATGATTTTATTGATCTATTTACAACAACTAATGTTGTATACAGGGAGATATTTCGTTCCTTAGAAACATCAGATTATTATACTACAAAATCTTATACTGGTGTAAGTTTTTTGATCTATGCCCTTTATATTGAATAGATCATATTCACGTCGATTTAGCTCTCTTCTTAAATATAGAATAAATCCATTGATTATATATTTAAAAATTTCTTCTATTATTTTTGCAGGAACAAAGTCTCAATGGTTGAAAGCTAAAATATATCGATGTTGTTCACTTTGGCTTTTCTTTAGTTGGTTTGTTTGTAATTCTATTGTAATTTCCAAATGGTTTTATATGTTATTTCATAATTTATTATCTTCAAGAAACTGGACCTTGAAGATAAATTATTGCTATCTATATATTTTGTTATTTTGCTTTAAGTCCTTATTAGAGATATGATAAAAAACACTTGCAGATGTATATGCTCTCGTGCAACACACGGGGAGTACTTGCTAGTTGAATTGAAATAAGAAGGAACAGGGA